CAGGGTGACAGAGCGAGATTCTGTCTCAAAAAAAAAAAGATTCTGAGAAGCATAGTAGTTATTTTCCAACTACTCTAATTAGAAGGGTAAATTGGTTATTGGGTAAGTAAATTCAGAATTCACAGCACCTTGTCCTCAGTGGTGGTTCCAGTTTTTCCCTCTATCAGCTAAAATACCCACTGCCCCCATTCTTGCCATTAATACTAGCCCATGACAGTGTTTAATAAAATTTAAAAATCTTAATCTAATAGGTAACAAAATTGGTATCTCAGTGTAAATTTGTCTCTTCTCTTAATAGTGAAGTTGAACTTTTTCTCTAGTGTGTCATTTCATTCTGTTCTGTGAAAACTCTGTTCATGGTTTTGACCCTTATGCTTTTGGATTTTTGAACTTTTCTTATTGAAGCCTGGGTGTTCTTTATATATTAAGCAGTGTGTGCTATGATTTGCAAGTATTGTTGCAAATTTATCATTTTCCTTTAGACTATGTTTATGGTGTTTTTGCCATGAATATTTTATAATTATTGTTATAAATTTATAGAATTAGCAATTTTTATTGTGATTTTATTCTAGATTTTATATCAAATTCAGAAGTTTTTAAATACTAAAATCTTTAAAAATTCTCTAATGAACTCAACTACTTCACATATTTTAGTTTTCACATTTAAAATTGGAACTTTTTTCAATATAGGAATCCAACTGTTTTTTATAGCTACCCAGGTGTCCTATGTACTACCTTTTAACGAAGGAACCATATTTTCCCCATTGAGTTGACATGTCATCCTTGTCTAGTCCTGAATACTCACCTCTGGATCTATTTTTGACTTTTTTCTTCTGTTTAATAATCTGTCTAGTTACATGCCAGTACCAAACTGTCTGAATTATTGGAGCTCTCTATTTAAATATTTCATAGGGCTAGTCTGCCCTCATAGCTCTTTCAGAGTATTCCTGGCTAGTCTTACTTTCTTATCACAGGAATCGCGGAATCAGCTCAATTTTTAAAAAATCCTCATTTTTGTTTGTGTGTAGGAAATTGCATTGTAAGTTTAGATCTAGACTGTGTATGATGTTAAGTCTTCCTATATAAGAACATGGTATGCTTTTCCATGTGTTTGAGACTCTTTTCGGCTGAAATACAAAGTTTTATTTTTGTGGTCTTGCACATTCGTTTATTTCTAGGCCATTTTCTCTCCTTTGTTCTTACTGTAATTGAGGCTTTCTCTTCTAGTTTATCATCTATCTGGATGGTGTTTATATAAACAAAAGCTTTTGATTTCTGTGCTCAGTTTTACGCCCAATGACTTCATTAGTTTTAAGAACTTCCAGTTGACTCTCACGCTGTGCACTGTCATCTATAAACTATAATAATAACGTCCTCCTCAATTTTTAATGCCTCTGAATTCTCTCACCTCTGTTAAATAATTCTTCCCTAGGTTCTTAAGTTCCTTGAGGACCTGAATTTTAGTATTCCATTTTGCATACCTTTCAGAGCACCAGTAAAGCTTGGGAAGGTTTATGACTAACCTGTTATGAGAACGGAAACACAAGTGCCTGCTAAGTGCTGACTCGTTAATTTATGACACTTGTCAGGCCCACCCACAAATGAAACCAAAACTGGTTTTCTCCTAAAAAGAAATCAATCAATGATATCCCTTTATACCACCTACGTTTTTGGCTCTCACAATAAAATCCTTTGAAGTGTCACATTTTCTTTGCAACAAAACAGGGCTTTTAGCTTCTAGTTTTTTTTCCTTGGATTTACTTCTGAGATTACAGGTAAAAAGTGAGGTTTTTAGTCTTCAAGTTTGCTTGTACATTCTTTGTGGTATTCATACATTCCCCATAGCAGTTTTCTTGAAATCATATTTGATTTCATTTAAAAATGACACACATGGCTCGGCGCCTGTGGCTCAAGCGGCTAAGGCGCCAGCCACGTACACCTAAGGTGGCGGGTTCGAATCCCCAGCCCGGACCCGCCAAACAACGAGGGCTGCAACCAAAAAATGGCCAGGCGTTGTGGCGGGCGCCTGTGGTCCCAGCTACTTGGGAGGCTGAGGCAGGAGACTCGCTTGAGCCCAGGAGTTGGAGGTTGCTGTGAGCGTGATGCCATGGCACTCTACCCAGGGGGACAGCTTGAGACTCCGTCTCAAAAAAAAAAAAATGACACATATTAGGTAGCACAAGAGGAGGTTTAATGACCAATAATGCTTAAAATCAAATAGATCCAAACCAAGCATTAAAACAGAAGATTAAGTGCTATAAACTATACAAGGAAACGAGTTCTCTTACTTGGTATTTAGGGACGTTATGTTAAAACATCTTCAAATGACAACAATTACCTAGATAAGAAGGATAAACCAGTCACGTGTCCATCACAAAAATACTACATAAAATCGGAAGATACACTTTGATAAGTGTATACACATGTTTCTTCCCTGGGACATTTTCAGATATTGTAAAAATTCTAACCTCTGAACTTTCATAAGATAAAGTAAAAATTTTAAAAGTGAAAAATTTAAGGAAGTACAGACAAAAAGCAGCTCCTAAAACTGTTCAGCAAAATGGACAGATATTTGTAGATTTTTCTCCTAGGGCATGAGACATGCCCCAGAGTAACCCTGAAGCTCTTCTCGAACCTCATGGTGAAGTTTTCTGACAACTTCAGTAACTAATTATTTGTTGGATTTTATATTGACCCTACACATACCATGTGCCCAACTCCAAAAACAGAGCACACATTTCTAAATGTGCTAATATTTTAAGATTACATTAGTCCTCCATCAAAAGCAGATAACTAAGCTATGGAGGTTTTACCAATGATTTCATAATAGTATCAGGGTGTATTACCTGACCACAGTACTCAAGTTAAATAAGTGGAATTAATCGCTAATTACGATAGGTAAATGTCCACCTACCAAGCTGATCAGTGTGAGAATCTTAGATTATGGCTCAAAATTTATTTTACGCTTTCCCCTTCTCAGGTTCATTCTGCTTCTCAGTAGAATGCCTCACTAGCGGGCGGTGCCTGTGGCTCAGTGGGCAGGGTGCCCTCCCCATATACTGAGGGTGGCAGATTCCAACCCAGCCCTGGACAAACTGCCACAAAAAAATAGCTGGGCATTGTGGCAGGTGCCTGTAGTCCCAGCTACTCAGGAAGCTAAGGCAAGAGAATCACCTAAGCCCAGGAGTTGGAGGTTGCTGTGAGCTGTGTGACACCACGGCACTCTACTGAGGGTGATAAAGTGAGACTCTGTCTCTACCAAAAAAAAAAAAAAAATGTCCAATTAGGCAACTGTCAAAATGCCTTTTAGCATTTCTTGGGGAAGATGTGCATTGAAATGTCATTTGAGTTTATATGATAAGTGTAATGATTTGCTTTCAACATTCCACTAAATATACTGAATTAACTATAAGCACTAGCATGAGCAATTTCTAATTGCAAAGAAACCAGAAAACAAAAATAAACACAACAAAATTATCTTGAAAAACTAAAGAAGTGAAAAATGTTACATACATTTAAGAGTATTTTTGTCAGAGATTAAGAATTTGGGGACACTAAATTCTCAGTTTCAATATTATGGCAAAAATAGTGGTGGACAGCTCCACTTATCTAGTTCTAGTGTTTCCAAAAGTTAACAAGTGTCACCCCAGTGAGCTTTTAAAAAACCACAAAGCAGAGATGATAAGGGAATTCAAGGGCAGCATCAGTAAAATGATACACGGATATGAAAAATTTAGAATTCTTCCTGCAAATCCAGGTAGCTGGAAGCTTCTGCATAATTCACTGGTCACAGAAGAAGGCTTTTTGTTTTGTTTTTTGGTTGACTCTGAAAGCATTATTAACCATAAGCGACTACAGCTGATATAATGTTTAAGCTGACCTACATAGTGTTAAGTATAAGCCATTATTAGGCTAGGGACAGCCCTAATTTTCCATTTTCTTTAAATACGTGTGCATGTGTGTGTGTGTTTGTTTTAAGCTCTACTACAAATACTGTGATCCTTTGATAATGCTTTTAAATTGGCAATTCTGAATCAATCCACCTGCAGCCTCAGGATTCTTTATCAATAGAAAAGGACAAATAAAAGTCACCAGATTGATGCTCTTAAGCTTTAGCTGTTTTCCATTTAAAAATCCCTCCCCCAAGATTTTTAGTCTTATACCTGTCAAATATTTCACAGATGAGAACTACTTACACATGGTGAAAAAACAGTTCTATTTCTAGTTAACAATTTTTAACATTGATTGGAAAAGGGCAGCTTTAGTCCTGACGGAGCGACAAACCAAAGACTGCAGAGTAAGAAACTTCAGATGTCACCTACAGGCAACACACCAGAGATAAGCATTCAGCCGACTGTAGCCTAAAATCTAAAACCCAGAATCTACCATCTCCCTTCCTTAACAAGCCCTATCAGACCATCTTCAATGAAGTGCACCCAAAATTAAGTCCTTCATAAATCAATTTCTGTGTCACTACTATAAGCTAAAATCTTTTAATGGGGAGGGACCGCTCATGCCACTTCTTTAGCTAAAGAACATCTTCAGGTTATGAAAGATCGATGTGAAACTCACTATGAGGGGAGTTTATACTGCACAGCTTTTGGACAAGATGATTAGTTTTGTCACCCCAAAATGAATGAAAGCCCTTAAAGTATTGTTCTTATGAGTTTTTCCTTTGTAGAACGTTCACATTTTGAAGAACTGTCATTAGGTCACTGTTCACTTTTTGTGAGTTAGTATAAATGCAAATGAAGTTACTTCTCAATAACTGACTCTTAGAACAATTTTTTATAAAACAGGTGATTTTACTGTTTTCTCCCCAAAAAGGTCCAAGAGGAGACCTAGGTGATTTTTATTAAAAATATCCTTTAAAAGGCCAGGTACAGTCTCACTAGCACAGTGGTTACAGAATCAGCCACATATTCCGAAGCTGGTAGGTTCGAACCCAACCTGGGCCAGCTAAAACAACAATGACAACTGCAACAAAAAAGAGCCAGGCAGTGCTCGCCTCGGCAGCACATATACTAAAATTGGAACGATACAGAGATTAGCATGGCCCCTGCGCAAGGAAAAAAAGAGAAAAAAATAGCCGTGCACTGTGGTAGGCGCCTATAATCCCAGCTACTTGGGAGGCTGAGGAAAGAGATAGCTTAAGCCCAAGAATTTGAGGTTGCTGTGAGCTGTAATACCACAGGCCAGGTACAGTGGCTCACACCTGTAATCCCAGTACTTGGGAGGCCAAGGCAGGTGGATTGCCTGAGCTCACAGGTTCCA